AGATTAGTTCACAGTGAAAGATTAGTTTGCAGAGTAATTAGATCGTAGTGAAAGATTAGTTTGCAGAGAGTAATTCGTTTGCAATGATAGATTGGTTCACAGTGAAAGATTAGTTTGCAGAGTAATTAGATCGTAGTGAAAGATTAGTTCACAGTGAAAGATTAGTTTGCAGAGTAATTAGATCGTAGTGAAAGATTAGTTCACAGTGAAAGATTAGTTTGCAGAGAGTAATTCGTTTGCAATGATAGATTAGTTCACAGTGAAAGATTAGTTAGCAGAGAGTGATTTGTTCGCAGTAAGTGATTAGTTCGCAGAGTGTGATTAGTTCGCAGTGAGTGATTTGTGAGTGATTCAACAAATTCAATATGAATAAATATTTAATATGACTTGGTAGTCACGAGTCACGAATCTTTCATATGACTCTGGAGTCATGACTCATATGAAAGATTCGTTCATTTTGAATGAATCACTCGTGAACGACACATCACTAGTACCTACATTCGGAGTTCCAAACTTCAGACCAACACTTCTATTCTTCCTCTTTTCTCTTTTTCTCCTAACCAAACGCCCTCCTCTTCTTCTCTGTCTTTGACCAACAGTAGCCCAATTTCCATCAGTGCCCTGTAGGTCAACGGCAGTGCTGGCGGTCGTTGTTAACCCGGGCCTCAACCGATCCGGTATGGAAATCGTTTTAGTGATTCGCATATTTGGTTTGGCTGGATGGATTTTACGCCGGATGCCCTTCCTGACGCAACCCTCACCATTTATCCAGGCTTGGGACCGGCACTATAAAACACTGGTGCGTGTACCCTAGTGGCTGGTTTACTAATTATAATTAGTATATTATATTATATTGTACTATGTTTGATAAACCATGCAGCAAGTTTTCTATGATGAAAATGAACAAATCTAAGAGAAAATGTTATATTTATAACTCCATGACAGTTTTTTCCTGTCTTTTCACCTTTAGCAGAGTATGTCCTGCTGTGTGTGTGTTCTCTCACTAGCTGTAGCGCAACGTCGTTACGTCGTTTAACGTCGTTAAAATGCAAAGCGTTTTTTAAAACATCTCGTGACTGCTGTGGCTTTTATATCTGAAACTGATGTTTTCACCAAGTCCTCTGAACCTCAGTGAACACTAAATTGAATTTTTCCTCTGAAAAAGGGCAACAGTGAACTTATTATCTAATGAAATACAAGTACGGACTCAGGACTCCAGGGACGTAGGATTATGTTACTGGTCTGGACGGGAGGACCAAGATACTGATACAAACGCTTCATTCTCACCGATCTTCACCAGTTGCATCCACTGCACGCCCTTGGTGCCGATGGCCACCATAGAGAAACCGATGGTGGCGCCGACAATGCAGTGAGTCCCAGAAATGGGCAGTTTGAGGAAAGAGGCGATCAGCTGCCAGACGGCCGAGCCTGTGATGAAGAGAGAGACGCAAAATTAGGGAAAACCTCAAACCTTCCTATTTTTTTAATTTGACACAGTTTCTCATGAAGGAATAAAAATACACCATCTTTGTAATGGCTCATCACAGAGATCAATTATGTGAAGTGGTTGGTGTGTGGGGTTGTTGTTTTTTTTTTTTACGACAGCATAAAAAGGTTTTAGAGAACAGGGATTTAGAGAGCAACTATATTTACATGTTATAATAATAGTATCAATTATAAGGTTATCAAACGATTACAATTTTAATCAAAATTATGATCATGATTAATCGTGATTAATCGCAGCTACACTGTGATTAGTCACAATAAATCGTGAACATGATTGATTGATCAAAATAAATCAACTTTCCTAAACATGACGAAAAATAAAAATTGTAAATACAATCAATAAATAAAGAAATTTTGTTTGTATGTCGACTGTTTGTCAGAGCAACACAACGGGGTTGACGGTGGAACCACAGTATTTGATAAACAGTGGGTATTATTCTACCTATGGAATTAAAAGGCCTTAAAAATGCAATTAATATCACAAATGAATTAACGTGATGTATGCATTTAAGATTAACAGCTCTAATTAATACCAAATATATTGTTGAATTTTGATTAATGATTATTAATATTATACTGAAGTCTTTAAAACATCAAAAAAAAAGTCGGTTGTCACAGGCCTGTTTGACAGGAATTTGAATGTACGCATACACACAGACACCATCAATCTGCTCCATCAACACACTCACTGGAGCTTGGATCTAAAATTATAATTAAATGAGATGCAGTAATTGAGTTTGAAGGAATTTCTGTGCATCACAGCATCTCTGACAGATTTTCATTTAAGGAAATGGTAACGTCTGTAAAAAAAAAACAAGGAAAAACAACAAGGTTCTGTTATCATTGATCTGTTATTTAAAAAGCCTTTCCACACCTGAGGTCATTGGCTAAATAAATCTGAAGAGTTAGCGTCCGAGCCCTGATGGAGACTTCAATAAAGCCTGATTTGTTGGACTGCTCTGAGGTCAGATTATTAATGATATACAAAAAGGATTTTTTTTTAGTGTTTCCAACATTTGCTGGTGTCACTGGGCCACACACACTCACACATACACACACATTGTCAATGACCCGGGAAGTCCCTGTGCAAAACGTTCCTCATTTATCACAGTTTCCCAGCGCTGGCTGCAATCAGTGATCGTCATCAATATCTGTATCATTGTCATAATGACGTGACGACTTCCTCCACGTGTGCATTACAGCCTGTCTTAGTTCTTTCTGACCTACTGATGAAGCAGCTCTCATGCTAATCCCTCTGTGCTAAAAAGCTAAAAAATAAACTCCAGTCCTACTCACCGACCATGGCGCTGACCTCTCCTGCCATGAGCACGGGCACAGTGTCGTTGTACAGGTTGACATCTATAATGCCCTTCCGAATGGTCTCGCCCACTTTGGCTCCCAGGAGCATGGAGCCCAGCGTCTCAAAGACGGAGGCCAGGACACAGGCCTGCTTCAAAGTGACCACACCGGAGCCCACGGCTGTTCCGAATGAGTTGGCAACATCGTTAGCACCCACAGAAAAGGCCAGGATGAAGGCGACGATGAATCCAACGATGACCATCCACAGATATAATTCCATATCCATCTTGATACGATTTCCAGAAAAAAAAATAGATACAGTTTCTCTAAGAAGAAGTGCGGTGTTTTTAGCAGAGGACTTGGGAAGCCCACTTCTTTTCTTTTGTCCCCTGGTTGTCTAGAGTTCAAGGGGAGAAGCACAGCTGCTAACTAAGTGTTTGGCATTCAGTCCAAAGATTGGAGACGAATGGTAGTGGGTGCAGGGAGCATTCCATAGTTTAGTCTGAGACAGTCTGTCTACACCTTCCTTCACCTGCAGCAGAGACAAGAGAGAGGAACATATTAGTGTCTCAAGCTGTGATGGCTCTTTAAAAGCAACAAAAAAACAAAGACAAAGAGAAGCACGGAGAAGGAGGGAGAAAAGGAAGAAAAGTCTATGGTTAGGGATGAAGGATGAAAATGCAGAGCTGGCTTTGAGGAAACAGTCCCAGCGCTGAGGTGGGGGCAGAGCTGAAGACGTCTCACATCACAGGAAAAGGAAATCACAGTTCGCACTTCAAAGAAATCAAATCAGAGTGAGCAGAGCGTCTGCTGTCAGCACTGAGACTAAAAAAAGACACCACACTTGGCACAGTGAGATACGAGAGAGGCTCCGACATTAAAATCGAGTGTTTACACCTTATCACCACAGAACAGGACGGATGACATTTTAAGCAAAACTCCATTCATTTTAGACGTTCTGCCTTCTCCACACATCCGGGGGCAGTAGGCCAAAGGTTACCATTTCAACATTGGTTCAACAAAATATGAATTAGGTGAGTCTGAATAGAAAAATACATGGATGTTAGACATGCATGTGCAGGTGCAATGGGTCGAGTGCTGCTTAGGAGCACTCGGTGTTACTAACCAGTCTCAAATCAATAACACAAATCAGTCTCATTAAAGTTATCTTTAATTATTATGTTATCCTACAAATATAGCAATAATGTATTACTTGAAGTATTACATATAAATATACTATACTATACTTAGTATACTATACAAAGTATACTATACTTTGTTTTTCATCTTGGCCACTGAGAGTGGACGCTGGCATGCATGTTGCCGCTGCTCTCCGGGCGTATGTGTTTTTTGTTCTGTTTTTTGTTTTGTTTTATGTACAGTGTCCTTGGGTGACATGAAAGGCGCTTTTAAATAAAATGTATTATTATTATTATTATAATCAATGGTATTCTATAACAATTAAATATCTTAAGGATTTTCTGGAGTTCTTGGCAAAT